TTTCCCAAAAAAAATCAGCTTAGATATCTGTAGTTAGAAGATCTACTCCTTCCTCTTATTTTTATTTTTAATGTACTGTGAAGAATCGCATGAGGGTTTGATTTTCTTGACATGGGTATAGATTTTTCTACAAAAGAATTTCATGTTTACATGGCAGAAGCATGAAAATTTTACATAATCGCAAGGTTTTTGTCGGATTTTTTGTGTTCTTAACCGAAAAGGTGCAGTGGATGTGTTTGTGAAATTGTCTCGCAGAACGAATCTGCGTTTATTCTGCCCTAAAAAATGCAGTCAAGGTTAGTGACAATGGAGGAAGGCAAAGATCCCACCACTAATTCAATCAAGACAAATCAATCTAGGGTTTTTCCATTTAGATTACTTAGATTCATGTTGATTTTTCTAGGCGCTGGCATTATTCTTTCAATCATTAGTATACGCATGAACAGAAATTTAGGCTTTCGGCTATCATTCCAGGAACACAGCCTTGTTTTCAAGAACCCATTAGTTTTACAGAATCTGATTAAGCCTCCATCAAATTACATGCATACAATGAATGACAGTGAGCTGTTATGGCGAGCTTCAGTTGTTCCTCAATCAAAGAATACCCGTTTAAAAGAATACCTAAAATTGCGTTCATGTTCTTGGCAAGAGGACCATTACCTCTGTCGCCATTGTGGGAGAAGTTTTTTGAAGGAAATGAAGGGCTTTATTCAATTTATGTTCATTCTTTGCCTTCGTATTCACCTGATTTTCCAACATCTTCAGTCTTTTATGGGAGGCAAATTCCTTGTCAGGTTAGCAACATTTATCTTCTATGTCCTTTCTTACATTCTTGAAAATTATGTGATAATTGTGATTTCATAATTGGTTTGTAGTGTTTGCGTGGTCTATTTTTGAATATGATTATATGATCATATTTAGGTTTAGTTTGATACTAATTTTAACAAAATTGATTACCAAGTAGTGGAATAAAATGGCTTGTAATTGTATACCCTTATCATCATTGAAAATAGCAGAAAGAAAAGCCAATGGACTGTGTGTTTTGTTTTACTTAATTCCGAAAAAAAAAAGTTAGTTCTATTTTGTTCCATAAAGAAAAGTTAGGGCTATTTTTCATTTTACTTAATGGACTAATGGGGATGTTTTTTTTTTTTTTTTTTTTTTTTTTCCCTCAGTAAGTGTTGTATGGGTAAACTACATGATTAATAATATGTAGCAACACCCTATTGTTCTTGGGGAAGAAGATGTGTGATGTTTCCTTTCCTTTTCACTTAATGCATCAAGAAAAGTGTTTCTTCTTCTTTCTCTCATATATAACTCAACTTTGACAATCAATTCGAAATACTTTCCAAATTTTATCAAAACCCATATTTCATTTAGATATATAAACAACTAAAACTCATTTTTTTTTTACTCTAAATATAGATGGTGGAATGGGGAAGAATGAGCATGTGTGATGCAGAAAGACGACTTCTAGCCAATGCATTACTTGATATCTCAAACGAATGGTTTGTCCTCTTATCAGAAGCATGCATACCTCTTCACAATTTCAGCATAATTTATCGATACATTTTCAAGATCAAGATTCAGCTTCATGGGTGCAATGGATGAACCTGGACCATACGGGCGGGGTAGGTACAACCCCAACATGTTACCAGAAGTCAACATTAGTCAATGGCGAAAAGGGTCTCAATGGTTTGAAACCAATAGGAATCTTGCAGTTGATATCATTAAAGACACCAAATTTTACCCTAAATTTGAACAGTTTTGTAGACCTGCGTGTTATTTGATGAACATTATTTCCCTACCATGTTGACTATTCAGTCACCATATTTGTTGGCAAATAGGAGTCTTACGTATGTTGACTGGTCAAGGGTGGGGCCCATCCGGCTACTTTTGGGAAGAATGATATGAGGAAGGAGTTTTTTAAGAAGATTCTTGAAGATCAAAAAATGTGTTTATAATAATCAGCCAACTTCTGTTTGTTTTCTTTTGCACGGAAGTTTTCTCCTAGTGCTTTGGTTGTGTTGTTGGAACATTCAATGGAGTTCTTTGGGTTCTAGACTCAAGATTCTGCAGAATTTTTTTTAGCTGATTACTTGTATTTAAGCAGCATGAGATACTATTACATACTGAGTAAATCTTAATCTTAGGAAGATTTATGGAACAGTTGATGGCTGAATAATAATTTGTTATCACTATTGATGTAGTGACGCAGTTGTATAATACAAAATGAGAGATTTTTGTATTTGTGTTTGTATTTGTATGAAACACCCTGTTTTGGAAACTTAGACGCTTTTCGTTCTGTGTTTTGATATGTATTTTCAATGATTATCGTTATTTTAAGTTGTAGATGATTAGTTTTTTTGATGATTCTGATAACTTATGGTTGAAATAACTAGTTTAGAACAAGTGAAGACAAACTGGTTATCCAAGGTTAGGTTTGTTTTTGTATGATGAACGAAATTATCAAGTGGTAATGAAATGAGCAAGATAATAGACTGAATCCTTACTTTATATAATCATGTTTGTTGCATACTAAACACTACTAAGATCAAGATATAAAGACGACCTACCATACCACTAGATTCACTGACAAACATTAAGCAATATATTAATATATAAACACCACCACCAATTATTATAGGCTTCAAAATAGTCTCTTTGTCAGCAAGAAAGCAGCAATTTAATCCATATGAGATGACAATTCACAGATCACAGTTCAACATGTTGATGTCTCTCCAAATCCAGAGTTTGACCAAGGTACCTTGCAGCTAAAGTCGCCTGCAATGCAGCACCATAAGGAAGAACATCTTCATTAAGTTCAAAAAATGGTGAATGCAATGATGCAGGTGTTCCCTTTTTTCCATCATTCATTCCAATAAAATAGAAATAACCAGGTATAATCTCTTGGTAGAATGAAAAATCCTCTGCCCTGTTAATGGTAGCATCTCTTTAACATTATCAACACCAAGAACATCTCCTGCAATTTCTTGGAAGAATTTGTGTAACCCCTCATGGTTTATTGTAGCAGGGAAGAAGGGTTTATCCTTTGAACCAAATGTCACACTTGCATTACACCTATGTACACTTGCTTGCCCTACAATAACCTGTTAATTCAGATGAATTTTAGTTTCGGATAAATATAATCTCAAATTCTAAGTTTTTGCATTAATGCATACAGATTAGTGATATTACTTACATACCTCCTCTATTCGTTGCTTCAATTGCATAAACTTTGTTTAGAGAAAGCACGGAAGGTTCCACCAATGGTGACTGAATCAGGAATAACATTAAAAGCACCACCTCCATGAAATTTGGCAACCGTAACAACCTAAAAAAATAAAAATAAAAAATTTCTTTTATTATTTTCGTAACAAACAATGAGAATTCATCTATGTATTTTCATAACACAAGGCTCTTGGGAAACCTGAGAATCAAGAGGATCGGTTTCTCTTGACACGAGATGCTGTAAACTGACAACCACATTTGAGGCTGCTAAAATTGGGTCGATTGAGTGGTGGGGATGGCGGCATGACCACCTTTTCCGGTGATGACCGCTTCAAAAACACACACTTCCGGCCAAAATAGCACCGGATTTTGAGAAAACTTGACCGAGAGGCGGCTGTGGAAAAACATGTAAACCAAATATGGCTTTCACATTCTCAAGAGAACCACTATCCACCACCTGTTTTGCACCACCACGCCTTCCTCCGCCGGTTGAAAAACCAGGACTACTGTTCCCTGTCAAAATGGTAACAAATATGCACATTTAATGTACAGACTATGAAACTCTTTTAAAAATGAAAAAGAGGGTTAATGTAGGAAGTAGCAATGTACTTTCATTGATTTGTTTGCATCTTACTTCATTCTTTATATTACAACTTTGTGCTTTAAAGAAAACTTAAATTATTGTTAAGAATTCAATCCTTTTAACTTATAAACAAGTACCCAAATCCATCTGATTTCTATTAAATTCTATCTACCAAAATGGTGAGCATTCAAGATAGAGGATGCAATGAAAAACTAAACAAACCTACCTTCAAAAGATGGCTATGGCTTTTGAGAATCTTGGCTGCTCCAAGAAGCATTGTGACATGACCATCATGACCACATGCATGCATCTTTCCAGGAACTTTACTCTTGTGTTTCCATTCCACCATTTCCTAATCACAAAGATCATAAAACTTATCAATACAATTATTATACTACATCCACGAGTAATTATTGAGTAGTTAGAACTGGAGTCATTTTTATACAACTGGATGAAAATAAGAGCTCGAAACAATAACTATAAGAATTTGATTTGAGTTCTTATTAAGTCAAAGTTCAAAACACATAACAAGTAGTTCTTGTAATTAGCCAGAGTTCAAAACTCAAAACAATAGAAATGGATAATAAATCAACTTCAACTATCTTAGAAATTAATCTGGCAGGAAAAAAACACAAATTAAGCTTAAAAAAGAACAAAACCTGAATGGAAAGAGCATCCATATCTGCCCTTAGAGCAACAAACGGAGGTTCGCCGGAGCCGAGGAATCCAACAACGCCGGTAACTGCAATTGGGTGTTTGTAAGAAATCCCCAATTTATCCAATTCTTCTCTGATAACTTTACTGGTCTCGAATTCTTGATATCCCAGCTCTGGATTCTCATGTATCTTTCTCCTAACCCCCACCATCCAATCAAAAACCTCACTTTTCTTTGCGAATTTGAGAAATTCTTGCGAGATCTCAGAAACCCCAAATGAGATTTGAGGTTTAAGAAACGAAACAATCATAATTACAAAAAACCATTTCGAAACTTTCATTTCTTCGGTCTGGTCTGAACAACTAAGTAATAGTCAGTACGATGGTAAGATTGAATTCGTAAGAGGACGAATTACAGAAATTGGTGAAGAAAATCAGTAGGGCGAGGACGGTGAGCGTGTATGTTGTGTGATTAACTGATTATGAGCATCGTAGTTCATTGGGAATGAGGTGAAATACAGGGAAAAAAGGTTGAATCGACGAATATTTGTGTTAAAGAATTGGGTAAATTACACCAATCGTCCCTGTCTATATGCCAAAAAACGTGTTTAGTCCCTATTTTCAAAAATTAACTCGGACCGTCCCTCGTTTCTTTTAGACTTGCACGTTTCATCCCTATTGACATAAAATGACTATTTTGCCCTTAATAATGTCTTTTTTTTCATTTTCTTTTATTTATATATTTTTTTTATTAAAAAATAAGAATAAACAAAAAAAATACCCTCACCCTTCCCCCTTCCATTTCTTCCTATCGAATAAAACATATAATTTCTTCTGCCTTCGTCTCCTTCTTTCTCACTCGATCCCTATGCCAACGAAAACCCCATCACCGCCACCTTCACCAACTCTGCCATCATCACTATCATCTCTAACCCTTAAAACCTGCAACAAGATTCGACTATGGCCACCATATTCTCCATATATTACCCACCCTACGAAGAATCCATTGAAACAAAATCGATCAGGACATCCATGGTGGTGATTTTTCTAGATTTGTCAATGTCGTACATGTCGGGGTTGCTCTCTTCATAAAGCTTTAACAAAAGAATATACCCAACTGGCCATAGCTTTATTTGATTTGTTAAATTACTTGACAGGAAATCGAGTTTCGAGAATTCGTATGTACCAAGCCATAATTTATTCCCGATATCATGTGATGAACCATCATAGTTCTTTAACAGGAGAGGGAAATCCATGGTGGTGATTTTTCCAGATTTGGTAAAAATTCATATATGCGTGTTTCCAGAAGAATCCATCGAAACCAAATCAACCAGAAACACAAAATCAAAATCGATTTAGGAAGGATGAAGAAGGGGAAACGAAGAAATAGGGATAAGCTGCTCAGTGAAACAATTGAGAAGGGCATCATTCGAAGACTAAACCTTCACCCGTTTCTTCCGATCTCCTCTTTGCCTCTCATCGGAAACATAAATTTGTGATGGGGTGTTCTTGGTGTTGCTAGAAGGGTGTTCATCAGATGGAGTATGGAGGTGGGAAAAGATGATCTAGACACCAGAACCTTTCTCCTTCCCATCGACCCAATCGTTGGAAACTACCTCCACATATGTCGGAAATTGTTTAACTGAACATCGCCGGAATGTTGGAGGCTGAGGGTTTGATGGCTTGTCGGAATCCTAGAATATGAGGGTGAGGTTTAATGAGAGAAAAGATAAATAAGGGGAAGGGCCGTTAATTTTTTTTTCTAAATATAATTTATAATTAATAATACTATATAAATCAAAAATAATTAGAAAATAAATAAATAAAGGGCATTATGGTCATTTCAGATCTTATATGGACTAGATTTGTAACAAAACCACGTATCAGGGATGGAGTGTGCAACTTTTAAACAAATGAGGGACGGTCCAAGTTAATTTTTGAAAATAGGGACTAAACACGCTTTTTGGCATGTATACGAGGGACGAATGGTGTAATTTACCCTATTTGTTTATGTATTTATATATACTACATGGACCCATCCACCATACCATTTCCCATTCCGCTCTTTTATTTTAAATATATTATTTTCTTGTTGGATTATAAAAACGTACACACACTGACACTAGACTTTAATGCTCGATGGTGCTAGCCGGAGTTAACAACCAAAAGTCCAAAACACTTCCCTCCTCTCCCTTCAGTTTTTCTCGCTAGTTAGATTCCCACCCTTTCTCTCATTCTCTATCGTCCTTACCTCCTGCAATCAAAAAAGAAAAACAAAGAACTGTTATAATCAAATCAAACCTCACGATCAAAACTAAAATCAAATCAAACCTCAAGATCAAAAAGAAAATCAAAATGAAATATATTCAAATCCTTGAAAACCTTGATTTTTGCAACCCATATGTGAAACCTTGAGAATAGAGGTGTGAAAAGGAGTATCGTTGGTAGTCCAGTGGTCACTGGCAAGAGAAATCGTGAAACCTAATCTCAAATTCTTTCTCACTCTTCGATTTCTCAGTCTCACTCTTTTCCTCCAAATCCCTTTTCATATCACCCTCCAAGCTCTCGATTATATCCCTCAAACTCTCAAGTTTCTCCTCCGTCAGTTGATTCACCTGCCCAGTCACAACAACAGAAACTAATCCCTTCTCAATTTCCTACATCCCTACTTTTTCAGCCACCCCATTTATCTCTTACTGCAACAAGCTTTTAGCCATTCAGACCGACTCAACTCGGATTTCAAATGACCGTTCAACTTGGTTAATGAATCAACCTGTTGAAAATCAATTACAATAGAACATACCGATTTCAGAAAACAATTTTTGGTGGCAGTGACTTCGAACACGGTCTAAATAAACAAGGGAATGCAACGATGGTGGTGTTATCGCATTTGATTCACGTCATCAATGGTAGTAGTGACTCCAATTCATGATGTTTTACTCGATGGGGGTGTTGTGGTGATGTTGGTGACCGACAAGAGGAAGATGTCTCCAAAAAACGAAAACAGGTAACCGGTGGTGGGTTTAGGTTTTAGGGATGATATTTTTTTTAGTTCATTAATATATAAATAATAAATAATTATAAAATAAAAATGTAAATCATAAAATTAATTATAAAATAAATTAATAAGGGCATAATAGTTTTTTTAGATCAAACATTGATCAAACGTGCAACAAACAGGTATAGTAGGGACCTTCTGATTTAAATAAAAAACAACTAGAGACCAAACGTGCAAGTTGCCCCAAACCACAAAGACCATTCGTGTAATTTACTCAATTTTGATATTAACTTGTTATCTTCGTCTTATCTAATGAAATAGTGCACGCCCATCTAATAAGTCCCTTCCAAAGTCAATTTCTTAAAATACCCTTCATAATATACACGAAATGAAAAAATAGCATCAAATGTGGTTCAAGAAATCAAGGATGTATTTTCTGTTTCGAATAAGACCTTAGTGTCCATGTATCTAACACCGTTGTTTTCTCTCATGTCAATCGATGTCGGTGAACTACGACGAATGATTCTTTTATATGTGATTAAGTTTCTACAGGTTTTCATTGCTATAAACATGTGATTAATAACAACATGTTGCAGGTTTCGATAAGTGGTTTTGGTTATTTCCCCACAATATTTGGGTATCCTCTTCATATAAATTTCAATTTATAGAGCCCGTTACAGAGCGAGAAGGGGAAGAATGAGTTATTGGAAGCATCAACTGGGTTATACGTATTTTAAGAATCCATAACCATTAGTATCATCATCTTCTTTCTTGGTTTAACATATAAGTTTCTCTGATTTTACATATAACTTTCAATAAGTTAATTCAAACTGGCTTATAACAACCTACAATCTTGGTTTAGGTTTGAACTTTTACTCCTTAAAAATACAGAAAATATAGCTAGCCACTATATCGATTATTTTAGAGATTGTAGTAATGTTTTTATAGGTGTATCTGCTTTTGTAAATGAAATTGTTCTATAAACTATTTTGATATGTATATTTTTTTAGAATAATTTTCTATATTCATGTATGTTAGATGGATGTCTTTTAAGGTATGAACCTGTATACTTTTTTTTCATTTATTAACGTTGTGTTAAGGTTTTGAGTTAACCATTCATGGCTTAATGAAAAGAAAAGAAAAGAAACAATATGTACTACATACATGTATCATTTTAGCACAACCTTTAGACAATTTAGTACATGATTAGCTTGATTTATTACTTCTTTAGGTCTTAAATTTCAATGTGAAATTACACTTTTTTCATTTTTTTTTATCTCTTTTTGACTTTATAAGTTATTTCTTCAAATAAATACTAAAATTAGTTTTTAGATAGGATGGGTGGCTTATAGTGGAATGGCATATATATATATATATATATATATATATATATATATATATATATATATATATATATATATATATTGTAACAACCCGGAATTTTCAGGTATTTATTTTGGACTTAATTATGGAAATTGTGAGTGGACTCGGTGAGTTGGAGCCCAGACTCGCCGAGTAGGATCACGGATTTGGGCACGGGTTCGCGTCCGGACTCGACGAGTCCACGCTGTGTGGTGAAACCCTAATTTCCGGGGTTTGCGGCCTATTTAAAGGGCCTTATGGCCGTCATTTGTGCTCACCCAACCCTTAGAGAGAAACCCTTGAGAGCTGGAACGTTTTGAGAGAGAAAGGAAGCCTTATTGACCTTGTGTGTGTGATCTAGCAAAGAAGGAGAAGGATCTAAGCAAGAGGAAGCAAAGGAGGTTGCTATTCAGTGGATTTGAAGCTTAGAGCATCGATCTAGAGGTATGAATTCGATCCATTTTCTGATTTGTGGAGTATAGGGAGATCTAGGGTTTCTTATGGACATTTATGGAATGATTTGATGCCAAATAGTCCCCTTCTTGTGTTGAGACTCTGGATCTGGATCCATAGAGGTCCAGAGAGCCTCACTCTTCCAGCTTTATGTATAGCAATGGAGTTTATGGCCTTGAGTTATTGTAATTGAGACAAAAACATCATTTAGGGTCATATAGAGATTGTATGTGCATCAAGATAGTGACTTTACGTGCTAAATAAGCTTGGAGGGACTGGATCTATGGGTTAATGGACTGGATCTGACCTCATGAACAAGTTTTAGTCATTGCATGGCACGGACTCGCCGAGTCCGAAGAACAGACTCGGCGAGTAGTATGAATGTTGCCCGATCATACACGTGTGGTCTTGCCGAGTTGGGAAGGGTTGACTCAGTGAGTCAGGGGGAAATCAGAGTGGACAGGTGGACTGAGTCAAGTTGGACTCGCTGAGTTGTTCTTGAGACTCGGCGAGTTGAGTCGTGGTGGCCCCACAACTCATGCCAGGAGGGACTCGTCGTGTTAGGGGAATACTCGACGTGTCAAGGGAGGATTTCAGGGAAATTAGTGTATACGTTCAGACTCGCCGAGTCGCTATATGCACTAGCCGAGTCCGGTCAAAGTTGACCGTTGACCGTTGACCAGGGTTGACTTTTGTTGACTTATTAAGGAGTAGCCAACCTTAGTTGGGAAAGTGTTAA